ACTGAATTTAGGGCTTTATCATTATGCCCTTAAACTTGGGAGGTGGCAAGATATGTATAAGAGATAAAATCCACTAGGAAGAAAATTATCATGTTAAAGAAAAAAAAGAAATATGGGTGTCCTTAGTTAAAAATAAAAGCATTATAATTTAGCCGTCAGGTATCGGGTACCTACCTCTCTGTGCCTCAGTTTCTCGTATGTAAAAGTTGTAATGATTTATTAATTGTGCTCTTCCATACATATCTCAAATGGATTATCTTTCCATGGCCTTGTAGAGTTTTGTGTAGCATGGGGAAAGTGTTAAACAGGAACAAGGATGCCACAAGAACAAGGAACAGGAATGGGAAGATGACTCAATCAGTATAATGATTGCCATGCAAACACAAGATACTGAGTTAGAGTCCTGTCATCAACAAAAGAGCCCAGAATTAGCAGCACATGTCTGTAATCCTAGAATTGGGCTAGCAAGTGCAGGAAGAACAGTGGGACCTACTAGACATTCAGCCCAGTGAATTGGTAAGTTCCTGGTTCTGTGAGAAACACTATCTCACAAAGGAAGGCAGAGATTTGATTGAGTATGATGCCTGATGTTATGCCCTGGCCTCCCCACATGTATACACATCTCCCAACATGCATGCATTTGTAGACACACACACACACACAAACACACACACACACACACACACACGCACGTATACACAACAGAGAGAGGGAGAGAGACAGAGAGAGAGAGAGAGAGAGAGAGAGAGAGAGGGAGAGAGAGAGAGAGAGAGAGAGAGAGAGAGAGAGAGAGAGAGAGGGAGAGAGGGAGAGAGAGAGAGAGAGAAGAGTGGAGTGATCTCAGCACTGTCCACAGTATCCTGGAATGCTAGGGCCTACATCAGAAAATGCCCAGAGAAAAGTGGAGAGAACCAAGCAGGCTCAGGAAAGTGGGTTTGCCAGAGTCTGTGCTTGATTGAGAGAGGCTTGAGTCATGAAGGGAAAAGCTCCCACTGCATGGCAACAAAGTGCCCTGTCAGTGACTGTTCCACTTATGTGACGAGGTAACCCTGCTGAAGTGCTAGTTTAGCCTATCATTTGTCCAGCGTTTGTCCTCTGGCTCATGCAGACCAGTGTAGCACAGTACTGCTGAAGGCTGTATCCCTGTGAGATTGGACCTTCCACCTCAGCTTCAGAGCAGGGCACCATGGGTAGCTCTAAGTTCAAAGGACATAAATGGCATGAATTATTTCCCACACAGAGCAAGGATCGGTCTCACTAGAAATATCACCCTGAATGTATGGGTTTAAGCCACAAGTCCTACTGCCCCACGGTGGTGTTCATCTGAACAGTGAGTGGTAGAAATGCCCTGAGTACCACACGTTTTAAAGTGATAGTGGTTGTAGAGATTCCTTGAAAACCATTTTAGATTCTGTTTTATTTAAGGAAAAATTTTCCCTAAGCCTACAATCTTATTATGATATTTTACAATAAATAGACTCATGGTCATTATCAGAGGTTCTGGGATGCATAAGCTGAATCAGAATCCGCTTAAGGTTTGTCTCTTATTTCTCTATAATCCATTAGGTAAAGCACAAAGTTCCTAGATTTGGTCCCCTCTGATCAAGGTACCTTTTTCCTGTTCAATCCCTTCTCTACTCTGCAACCTATCTAAGAAGATCAACCACACCCGTAATAGAACACTCTTCAAAACCACTGCCCAGCTACCTGTATCCCACTGTCTCCATCCTTTTGACTTTGTACTCCAGGATCTCACTCCCTTGCCATCTAAAATTGAATCTCTTAGGCATTTCTGAGACTTTTTAGTATTGACAGAGAACCAAGGATTGGAAAGACCTTCCAGACCCCTATGACAGTCAAATTGCGAGGTCCTACTGACAATGATCTTCTTAATCTCTTCAGAGAGGAGAAGGCTAAGGGAAGAGGTAAAAATGATATAGATGCCAGATAATTACCATAGAGCATAGTCTTGCCATGGATCACGTGCTCAGAAAATCTATGGCGAAGAAAGCAGCCCTCCTATACAGGAGGTTCCCTGCCAGACAGTGGTTGCCTCTGGGACTTGGGATAAGCTTTTGTGCTTTGCAGACAGCTACAAATCAGAAACAAGGGAAGTTCTGAGTCAGAGCAGGGGACATGCAGGCTCATCACCAAAGTCTTCTCTATTTTAAAAGACAGGGATGCCATTTTTATAAATAGCATACTAAGTCTGAAAGAAAACTAGAAATTTTAATGAAAAGTATTGAAATGAACTTCTTAGTTAATTTTCTTGCTGCTGTGGCAAAATTCCAGACAAAATAAACTTAAGGCTTACATAGGATCATGATGAGTGTACAGTCAATCATGGCCACAAGTCCTGGTAGTAGGAACATGAGATGGCTGGTCACATGGCATCCACAGTAAGGAAACAGATGGAAACGAGAGCCAGCTTGCTTTCTCTTTTTCATTCAGCTCGAGGCCCCTGCCCATTCGAAAGTGCCACCCACACTCAGTGTGTGTCTTCTCATTTCATTTAACCCAGTGGAGGGATTTCCTGCCAGACATGCCCCAGAGTTTGTTTCATACTCTAGATCCTGTCAAGTTGATAATTAATTAACCACCACACTGGTTTTAATTTTAAAAAGTGTCAAATAACAAGGAAACAATGATCAGAGCAATATTAATTGAAAGTTGCAGAAATTAACTTTACTAGACCTACAAAGCCAGACCCACTGTTCACCAATGAAGCTACAGATGTCTGGGCGGTAGTGGCTCATGCCTTTAATCCCAGCACTGGGGAGGCAGAGGCAGGTGGATCTCTGTGAGTACAAGACAAGCCTGGTCTACAAGAGCTAGTTCCAGGACAGCCTCCAAAGCCACATAGAAACCCTGTCTCGAAAAAACAAAAATAAAGATAAAAATAAAAACAAGAAGCCTTGAAGCTACACAAGGAGTAGAAAATAAGTGCCAGTTGACATTTGCAGGGAGTATCAAAGAAGACAGCATCTGATCAAAGGCAATGACTGAAAATGGACAAAGGGACACAGAGAAATTATAGTAAAGCAATGAAAATGAATGCTTAGTGGAAATTGGAGTAAGACAATGGTAAATTAGACAATAGGATAGACATGAAGGGAGATAGGAGAAAGGAGAAAGAAGGCACAGATTATTAATGCTACCTGGGTCTTCATTGAGAATACCCAAGTTTCTTAATAGGAGGAGCAATGCTGAGACCCTCTACCCCATTACCAACATGTGAATTTCTACAAGATTCTAGGACATTTCACACTGTTGGAGCTTCTGTGGTTTCAACAAAACTTTTTCATTCAATTCATTTACAATAAATATGTGTGGTCCCTCCATACTGTGTGAGCTCAGGAATAAGGGGAGTAAGCCTGGAGTTTTGCAAACACCGAGACAAGGAAGCTTGTGAACTTAAACCTCAGGCCTTTCCTTCCTAAGACTTTATTTTAAAGGGGCTAGCCATCCTCAGTCACTATGAGGACTCAACAGTGCTGAAGAGGCTTCGATGTCAGAGGGTACTCTGTCCATGACCCAGCATCTCCTCTTCACCACAGTCTATGAGGCAGGGACTTTATCACCTCCATTTCCTTCAAAAGAGGAAGGTTTTCTTCCAGAAAAGATGAAATAATTTATTCAAATTCTCCCCTAATACAAAAGCTTGAACCCACATGATTTGAAGACAGTTCAACACTTAAACACTGGACAACAGATTAATTCAAAATGGTGGAATTCTGGAAATTCAGTAAGAGATGGTGGCTGAAAAGATAATACAGAGATTATGGGGCAGACCAAGGAAGTGGCTTTACGGTTAATAGCTGTTCAATCATGAGGATCAGAATCTAGACCCTGGACCCAAATAATAACTCAAGTGATGAAAATTCTGGCCTCATGGATGAAGACACACCCACTCATCCCTCATACACATAGGAAGAAAGGAAAGAAAAAAAGGGTATCTAAAGGGTTGAGTAGACCACTGGACAATAATATCTGTACATGAAACATTCAAATGAACAATGAAAACTAGGGAGAAAGGTAAGAAGGAGAAGGAGAAAAAAGAGAGACGAGAGAGGGAGAAATGGGCAAGAGAAGAGGCAATTAAAATAAATTTGGATAGGAATACCTCCATGATCTTAAATTTCAGAAAAGTTAAATGTAATCAAAAGCATGGAAAGCCAGGTGACTTAAAAAATGTATACATAGATCCATAAGGCAAGTTCCTAAATGTCTTCAAGTAGTCAACCATTTTGCTATCTGCCATGGAAGCCAAATAGTTTCTCTTCCAACTCAATTTCCCTTCTACCTCCAGTGAATCACATGAAATAGCCCTGTGGCAACTCTCTAATTTTACAGCTGTTCTCAGTCTGTGTAGGACTCTACTGAGATGTGATCAGAATTAAGCATGTTAAAGATGTGTGCATCATACCATAACTATCTTAAGTGCACCCACAGACTCACTTGGTAAGGGTGTCTAAATGTGACTGAAGCCCTCAGTGTGATCAATGCAGTCCTGAAAAGTCATTTTGCTGTGTGAGCAGAAATGGTCAAAGTTGCTGTTTCAGTTCAGGTTAGCCCTGTTCATTTATCCTAGCCCCTTAAGTCTTAATGACAAAATTGAATCCTCAGGTAAGCCAGAAAATTCCAACCATGAGATAAAGAGAGAATCATCATACTGAAACTGTTGGGATGCACGTTAAAAGGTGAGAAGCCATGAAATTATCCTTTTAGTTTCATAGAAGCAAACATGGGTATATCCTAAATGCATACCACATGGTTTGAGCTCCATGTTCACCTCCCTTATAACTGTCAGCATGGGGATTTCCAAGTTCAGAACTGAGTTATGCCTATCCCCGCTTTTGGTTTGGCAGGTTGCTTTCAACACTGAACTGAGAGAAGCAAACTTGTAAATGAATTGCTCCAGGGTTGCTGTCTGATTTGTGCACTTTCTTTTATTTATTTCATTTTTGCATTGAAAACATTACATCTCTGTTTCCTTATAGAGTAGTGTATCAAGAGCCAGTGTATGGCAATAAATTGCTACAGGTATGACTTCCTGAGTGACGGCAAAACACTCATCACGTGGTTGTGGGTTTGCTCTGAAATCCTCACTAACAAGATGATTCCTGGGAGGGCAAATGTTCTCTAACAGAGAGGGTACCTTAACTGAATTTTCCAGTTCAATACACATCTGTCTTGTGAATCTTCTGTCAGGTCCACAGTGGGGTTGGACTTCCTTCGAGATATCAGCACTATATCTGTATACTTTGCTCAATCATGAATATGCCACATGAGAGGTCTAATGTGGCTTTTAATTCATTGAATTATAAAAATTAAACAAGAAAAAACAAAAAGGGTCAGGAAGATGTCACAATAGACAGAAGTGTTAACTGCTAAGGCCCGACAGCCTCTGAGTTTGATCCACAGAAACAAAGTTACAGAGAGACCACTGACTCATGAAAGTTGTCCTCTGACCTCTACATGAATTCTGTGGCATGTGTGCACACACCACACACATGTACACAGACACTCACTACATGTACATACATGCGCATAATAATAATTATAACAATTCATAAATCAGAAAGTAAGACTTTTTGGATTATGGATATATTTCAGTAGGTAAAGCACTTGCTGTGCAAATATGGGGAACAAAGTTTTGAATCCCCCAGAGACCAAATAAACCCAGATATAGTACCACTTACCTGTCATCCATCACTGCTGCAGAGAGATGTGAGGAGAAAGCGTGGGGAGGGCATTCCAAGAAGCCCACAGGTCGGCTATTCAAGTAGACATGGAAGAAGCAACAAGGTGGAAGGCAGGGGCCAACACCCAAAGTGACATCTACATCATGCCATGGCACATGTACACACACATACACACATAATCCATGAGACAGGGTGATTAGAGGGTTTATTAGAATCAATTTCTCCATAATCTTTGGTTGGTTCTTAGAAAACACTATAATATTTAAATCAAAATTCTCTTACACCTCCAGCCTTGAGGGGCTACTTAGCTAGCATCTCCTATAACTCTGCTTTTACTATAGGTAGTCAGAAAGTTTTCTTTCCAGTTGCTTACCCTATTTCTCATTGTCAAAAAACACTATATGAATAAAGTTGTAGAAAGTAAAAAATGAAAAAAACCAAAACCAACATATTCACCACTGGCCAACAGTCTTAACATGTGGTCTACAGGTAATATTAAAACTGCCTTGCATCTGAAAGGTAGTAGCAACAATGGCTCCATGACACAGGTTTGCCATCTCAGTACTTGAAAAGCACAGGCAGCAGGATTGCAAGTTCAAGGCTGCTTGCAGAGTCAGTCAAGACTAGGCAGGAGTAGTTAATGGAATCCTGTGTCAAAACAAAAAGTCAAAGGAAGACTTTGGTTGTAGGGCAATAATAGAGTACTTGCCTAATGTGCATAAAGCCCTTGGTTCAACCTCCAGAAACACACACACACAAGACACACTTGAACATGTGCACAAACATACATAGGAACGCATACACACATGAATATTTTTGTGAGTAGGATAGATGAAACTTCTCTGCTTTTTTTCTTCTTTGGTTTGGAAAAGGACATATCTTGTCAGTGATGTTATTTGTTGACTAGGTTTACAGTTACCAGGTCCAACAAGACCTGGGGGCTGTAGTCCTCAAACAGAAGGCAAATCTTATTCTTCAGATATCAGCACAGAACTACACACAAGTTCTGGCTATGCTCAACAGGCTGCAGAGGACAGAGCAATACAGATCATCTGAGTCACTCTTTTTGCCAAGAAAATTAAAGTAATTTGTATCTGTGGGCCATTTTACAGTGTGTGCACACACTCTGAGTTAACACACAGCTCCGCTATTGTTACAACATGGCTCTCACGCAGGAGAGAACTAGGAAAGACAACACACAGTGCAGAGAGGCAGCATGATCAAACTACCAAATCCTTTTCCCGCCATTATCTTATATTGCAGGGAGCAATACTACAGTCCACAGATGCTTACATTGAAATAAAATTAACTAGGAGTTGAGGGGGTTCTCCTTTGGTAAAGTGCTTGCTTTGCAAGCAGGAGACCTGAGATGCATCTTCAGAACTGAGGGGTTTTGTGTTTCCGTTTGTTTGTTTGTTTGTTTGTTTTTTAAATCCAACCATGGAGGCATCTCTTTCTAATCTCAGAGCTAGAAAGGCAGACAAAAGGATCTGTAGGGCATGCTTGGCAAGTTCAAGATTAATGAGAGACCCTGTCTCAGAAAAAAAGAAAGAAAAATAGAAGGTTCCTGAAAGAGGTTGTCCTCTGGCCTCCAAACACATGAACTCATGTGTACACACTCAGCTGCACACATATAAGCACACATGCAACATACAATAATTCGTTTAACAATAGCCAATCTAGTATAACTGTAATCCCGGCTTTTGGGAGCTGGAGATAGGACACTTACAAGTTCAAAACTTGCTTGGCTATAGGATCAGCCCAAGGCCAACTTTGTTCTTACAAGATAATATCTCAAAGTAAAAAAATAAAGTTTAAAGAGAGGAGGGTGGGCTTGGAAATGAGCTTAACATTGCATCATCATATAAAAGATCCTAGTACAACAAAATAAATGACAAGGTAAAAGCAAAAGTTATCAGAACATAAGTAAATTAATTAATTATAGTCCCTGCATTCAATGGATAGATAAACACCTAAGACTGTTGAACTGTTGGCCACTATCCTGGACAAGACACAGGCAGAACATTGCTGTTACCACCACGTGATTTATTTACCAAGGTCAAAGCTACCTCTCTTACTCTAAACATACCAGAAGATGAGGCTATTGAGTCTGAAGAATCCTTGGTGGAAGGTGGAGAGATGTGTTTGCTGCTCCTCAGAGGACCAGTGCTCAGTTCTCAGCCCTAACCTTGAATGGCTCCAAACACCTGTGACTAAACACCCAGGGGATCTGATGTCCTCTTCTGGTCTATCAAGGCACATGCACACATGTGACATACATTCAAACAAATACACATAAATAAAAATTCAAACATAAACATAGCTGGAGCTTACCCAGCATGCATGAAGCCCTGAAGATATTCATGTCCTCTTGAACCAGGCATGGTGGAACACAGCTGTGATTCCAGCACTTCAGGGGATGAGGCAGGATTATTAGAAATTCAAGATAACTCTTAACTGCATAGCAAGTTTGAGACTAGCTTGTGCTACATTTGATCTTGCCTCAAAAACAGAGAGAGAGAGAGAGGGGGGAGAGGAGAGGAGAGGAGAGGAGGGGGAGAGAGGAGAGAGGAGAGAGAGAGAGAATATTTAAAAGCAAAATTCCTAAATAACAGACCAGACCTCAGGGTACTAACCACTTGTGACTATTTGGCATAGAAACTTATTTCCTCTCAGTGGTGAAGTCATCTGCAAATATACAAGAGATCATTTCCAAACTCTCATAGTTCACCTTATTTAGGAGAGAGGAAAGGGAATGTGGAAATATTGTAATTCAATTATAGTCTCAAAAATAAATTAAAAAGAAAAAGTAAAAATGTTTTTTTAAAAGGGCAGTGCAGGTATGCATAGCCGCATTTACATTCCCATGATAAATACCAACCATGTAGGCAGTGAAGCTCATATTATCTACTTCCATGTGCACTGTAACCAGGCTTCACATTTGTTGAATTCCTACTTGCTCTCATGACAAACCCTTCTGTAAACTTCCAGAGAAAATTACAGCATCCAAGCCACAAGGGCTTGCAAAGAAGGCATTGCTGAGAATAGATTCCATCACCACTTAGAATTTATGTGGAAGCTGATATACCTATGCAAATAGCTTTGTAGCTCTGGACAGACAGACAGATGGACCGACAGACACGCATACGCACACACACACACACACACACACACACACACACACACACTTCATCCAAATTGCTGCTAATGCCTCATAGTCATTGGCTGACCAATTCTAACCCTCCCTATATCATTAAATTTAATGCACATGCTTGCATACTTACATCATTCTGATATATCATGAAAGCCAAGACAAACAGTCAGGCAGATTAAAAGAACAACTCGAGAAAACCGGTGACCTGGTTTCTTCCTGGCCCAGCATTCCTCCTCTGGAGTTCAGTGCTGGTCTGACACCTGCTTTGTTTTTATGACTCTTCAGCACATATAATGAGTTCCCCCATTCCTCATTAGAGAGCACTGTGTTTGGAACACCAGGTGGTGTCTGCCTAAGACCTTTTTTGTTTTAAATTGCACATTTTTTTTTCCTTAAGAAAAGCTGTCACAGAAACTCCTGGCTCTGTACTATTGGTGATTATCCACCAAGATATCTTAGGTGTGTCTTTACCAAGGCTGATCCAAAAAACAAATTTCCTCAAAGAAAAACTGGCTCTCTTTTGAGCTATGACATAAATGATAGAGGATTTCAGTCAGATACATTGGAAGAAGCTGTCGAGAGCTATTACCTGCATGTTTGAAGTTACTTTTGTGGCCTTGCTTTATCCCTGTGTATAAGGCCACATGTTTGACACTTGTCAACTTTGCCCTCCTGTCGTTGGGCATTTTGCTGTTGTCAGCCCTCTGACATGCCACTCTATCCCGAGTTAGCCCCTCATTGTAAAGGTGAGACCCTAGCCCTTGAAGGATTGTAGTGCTGTGCATTCTCATTAGAGCCCGAGTAAGCCCCTTGTTACCTCTGGACACTGGATCCACTTTGTTAATCATGCTGAGATCCTTCCATGGTGGCTGACATATTGCCCTGGTCTGTTGAGCAAGATGCCCTTATTTTCTCAGCTTGATAATCAATGCTCCACTGCACACAATTCCTTCTCAATGTGCACATTTACTCTCCCTCTTTGCTTAATTGAACAATGGCAATTACTGGTACACAGAACTAAATGTTAATTATTTTCCTTTTCAGATTCTTTTCTCTTAATGATTTTATTTACAAATTGGAAGACTTTATCATATCTTCCCTCCTCTGTAGCAATTTCTCTGTCTGAATTTGTGTGACAAGTAGCAGTGTGGTATTTTCAGCTGAGGAGACAGAATTTTTGGCAGTTGTTCACTTTTGTAATAATTTTGGAACATTAATAAAACCTTCTACAAAACCATCAATGATTAACTTACACACACACACACACACACTTAATAAGTAATTTACTGATCTCATTTCTCAAATCAATATGAGGCAGGAGAGTATCTACTTTTACAAAGAAAAAAAGATAATTTAATAAAATTTAAGTTAATATTTGGTAAGTTATGATAAAACATGGTCATTTCTGGGAACCTGGAAAGTTCAGCCAAGTAGGAAGAATATTTAATTCTCACTCCCAAACCATCACCATTAACACTTACGTGTGTTTCCTTCAAAGGGCCTCTGGGTTCTGCCTTTGAGGATGTGCTTAGGGCTTCTAACCTTTAACACACAGCCAGGATGGGTGTTCAACTTCCTCTCTCCAGTTCTCTACTTCTGCTCTGATGCTAAGCTCTCATTAACCTCAGCCTTGGATGGGAGGACTTGGGTACCTGCTTTTCTGGTGCGGGCTTCTCACCGCTGGGTATTGCTGAACTGGGCTCTGTATCCCTAAGCCTCATTTCTCCTTGTGTTTTAGGGTGGTTATGCTGCATACCGCTACGCCCAGCCCACCCCTGCCACTGCCGCTGCCTACAGTGACAGGTAAGGCTCTTCCTTCTTTTGATGACTTGAAAGTAGCTTGTGGGGCAGGAAATTCTTATTTGTTCTTGCTTGAAACATGCATGACTACTGAAGAGGAAGCCCCTAAAAGTTAGGTCCCATGGTGAACTTATGCACAGGCTACATGGAGAGAAGATGGATGTTTAAGCCTTGTTCTTTTGTGAATTCTTCACCCTGTCTGAAGTAATGCAAAGAAAATATGCTGTGTCCCTGGATAGCTGTTTTTCAGACCTCTTTATTCCTATAACCATGTATCTTGTACATGCAAACATACACACATACATACACACACAGTTGTTCAACCTTCTCATGGCCTTCTGTGTCAGAACATAGTTTCATCTAATTCGTGGGAAGAAAATGAGAAAGTAATAAAGAGATTCATTGATCCTGGCAATGCCCAGTGCCCAAACTTACAAACATCAGCCAACTTTCATTTGCACTGCACACCTCACAAGAAGACTGGCAGCTGGAGGTACAGAAATGTATTTGAGAGACACAGAATTCCGAATGGATGTTTGTGACTGCCTTGGTCCCCAGGCTTTGGCAATGTGATGGTTTCTAAAACAGATTTAGCTATTTCTATAGAGGTGCCTTGTTGTGGGGGGTAGGCAGCAAACCAGCCAACAAACAAAAATGCGTGTGTTTCCATATTGAATGCAATTTCCTGGCTCTGTTCTCTGAGGACATCAATGTGAATGTTCGGGTGCTCTGCATGCATGGATGTCCCGGAGGGTGCTTTCTTTCGTGATGACTGTTTTAATTTAAGGATCTGTTTCATGAATAAAATGATAATGGTAACAATTTGCATGTGTGGCTGAGGCATGCTGGGTCAGACAGGTAAGCAAGCAGGCAAGGGGCGTGGCTCATGAAAGAGAACTGTCAGAGGACAGTTAGCTCGCAGCAACTGCAGACTTCTTCTGCAGTTTAAATAAAGCAAAAGAAATCCCTGAATTTAAAATGCTGTACTTAGCTCCATGCACAAACTTGTCATAAATAACTCTTTGGCAACCAGAGCTGAGATTTGCTCTCTGGCCACATGCAGGAATTATTACTGTTTTCTCATGAGCACTCTTATCACGTTTTCTAAATTGTAGGGAATCTTCAAAGAAATCCAAGCCACTGGCCAGACTTACTTGTAAATACATGAATTATCCATTTACCCAATCATCAGTTGCCAAGATGCAAGATGCTTCATGTAAATTATTATCTTCAGTAGTCTCTGACACTGGATTAGGAAAATTGAGAGGGTCAATAAGGCTAATAAAGATGATGACAATCTTGAAATACTTGAGATCATTCTACAAATGAAAAGGCTTAAATGTTATTAAATTCCATCACTGAAGATCCACACAGTCTCAATTGTAATGTGGCTCAGCTACAGCCCTTAATTATTTTTATGAAAATATCTCTAGATGCTAAATTCTCAAACGCCCACTTTATATGTAATTATAATCATGGTAACTTTTGCCTGATGTATAATTATAAGAATCTTAAACAGATTTATTTCTTTGAGTGTTTATCTTGCTTCTCTTCAGAATAAGTGCATCTAGCCCCAAGTTGAAGAAAGGTTAATTAAAGATAGACTTTAAATCGCCTTCTTCAATAAGACTAATTTAGACACTTGATCAAAACAAACAATGTCTAATAACTATTCTTAGAGTTACTGAGGAAGCCCACCATCTCTACTTGCATCCATCTGAAACTGTTAAAATTCTCTGTGTTGTGGAACATCATATATGTAAATATCTGTATAAAACCTGCAATTTTAATTTTATTAAAAGCTCTCATTGGTGATACATTCTACTGAAAAAAAATGCCCTCATTCGTGTATTGATAAATCTTTAATAACTGCAATTCCCAGTTTAGTGTAGCAGTTGTAGCTGAAGGAATCCACTAACTATATTCTTTTCCATGTAATTGGCCTCTTGCTGTTTATTAGAGATATTTTCACATTAGGTCCTCTTGGTTACTGTGGAAATTGATTACTGGCCCTATTTAACTTTATTGTAATCAGCATACTTGTCACCTATGGAATTTTTCATTGAGGTAAATTCAGTAATAGGTGAATTTCCAGAAACAATCTCTAAAATGGAATTTCTGGTTTGATTTATCATTACCTTTTTAGTACCTTTTATTTTTAATCAATATAGACAAGGAAACAACTTTATTAAAACATAATCAGGGTGAGATGGGAAATTATCAGAATAGCTTTTGAATTTCTACTATAGATGCAGAATCTATCAGGGCAATGGTATGATAAATTATTTTTTATACTATCATGCCACAGCATCAATAATAATAAAGTCTAACTTCCTCTTCTCTGAAAGACAGACAGGATGACAAAGAAATACACTTCCAAACCAAAAGAAGCCCTTTCAAACTTAGAAGGGAAATCAGTGGAGTTGGGAATGTTTGAGAAATGGTCACTGGTTGACAATTAGATTAAAAGAAACTCAGTAGCAAACCTTCCCTGTGATTCACTCTTCAGCTTTCTCTAAATGAAACTAAGCCTGCTGTGCTTCCCCCCTACCCTCTGGTTCATAGAATTCAACCTTTACTCAGTACAAATTACACCCTTATAAAATTAAAGATTCAGGAACCCTTTGAAAAAGATTGAACTGCTGTAACCTCAGTGCTGCCCAAAAGGTCTTTAATGGGTACCTTGCAGTTCCCTGACCATCATCTTCCTGCTTAAATGATCATATGCTGACAATCTCAGAGCAGCCCAAGAGTCTCTGGGTGTTGACCTCCTGGATAAAGACCATCTGCTATGGGCCAAGTTTTTCCCAAACCCCAAAGATTGAATGGAACTAGGTAACATCACAGTTTTGTTGACGGATTGAGTGGGAATAGGTGAACAGCTTTCCTCGGCATTTCATAAACATTTGGTAAACACTTGACCTGATCAGACCTTTATTTTGTTAATCTTGCTTTGGTGTAATGGAAGCCAGCTGTCCAGACTCTCAAGGAGATTGTTTTCTGAGTTTGAGCCATTCAGAGCATGGCGGTGGGGCCTGTGGTCATCTGGTCATTGCATGCTACTCGGTGTTGCTGATGTGTCTGTGGTACATGTTGGGTTGGACAGGACCATCACATTAGCTACATGAATGGCTTGCTTGGAATAAGCCTGGGGTACAGGTCTCTCTTCATTGATTGGCTCTTGGTTCCTTGTGTTTTATGGCTTGGTCTTTGTTGCATCTTTCAGCTATCCAACTGGGAGGTGGGAAGTGGAGAAGGTCCCCCGTTCAATGAATTATGGCACTCATAGTGTGGGAATATATGTGATGTGTATATAGCATTGATGAAATACTCTGGCTAGAAAGAAACTCCAGCCATGCTTGTTCTGCTTGCTGATACTCTAACATTCCCTAAGGATTGGTGCATGAAAGTGTCCCTCCATGTTAGGGAAGAAAGTAAGTAGACCTACACAGGTTTGAAAAACACCAAGAACAGAATGTCTTACTGTCCAGTTTAACAATAATATGGTTTTAACAGCGACCATGTCTTCTATCTATTAAAACATGATTATCCTTTCAAACAAATATAGTGCTTTTTGAAAAGTAAGGTAGTACATAAAACTGAAAATTTAGGCATAACGATCATCACTTAGGAAGAAAAATAATTTCTAGCAAGTTCTGTTTAGATTAGAGGGATGTGTTCATTGGAAATTTAGTGTTCAAAAGTAGACACTTTTAGGAAATATGTTTATATTAAAATGATTTTTATCAAATAATTTTAATCGTAAATCTATTTCTTATATTTTATTATAATGAGGGGTTTTGAGCTGTTAAAATATAAAAATGCATTTTAAGTAACCAAGAAATATATGTTCTAGAATATAGAATAGAATATTCACAATTATGTAAAGATATCTTCTGGATAAGAGATGCTCACTGAGCCGGGCAGTGGTGGCACACACCTTTAATCCCAGCACTCCAGAGGCAGAGGCAGGCGGATCTCTGTGAGTTTGAGGCCGGGCTGGACCGACAGCCTCCAAAACAATACAGAGAAACCCTGTCTCGTAAACCCCCCCCAAAAAAGGGAGAGAGATGCTCATTGAAAGTCAGACAAAACTATAAACATTTATTCGCTGTAAAGATCTACAAATGCTGGAGTTGTGTTGGCATAAGAGTGCAGCACCAGGCACATAGGCATCCTTAGACTAAATGAGGAGGCTGTGAGCAACAGGCTCTGCTTTCAGTTACTCTTCTTCATTTTCTGACACCTTAAAGTTTCATTGTTTTTATATGACAAGAAAAGAAAGTACAATATTGGCAGTTCCATATAGCTCAACCTAATATAAACCCAAACAAAACCTTGTCATCTTGCATACTTATAGGAAACTTCTAAGAGTTTTGGAGATTAATTTCAGAACAAGAAAGCCAGGACATTTAGAGTTTAAACACCTTTCAGACCAGGTACTCACACACTGAAGATTAGATGATTCATTTCAGAAAGTGACAGATTAGTAACTTTCTTAAAAATTAGTAGGCATAAGTAGTCATGTCTTTATTATATAGACAACAGAAATGCAAACATATGTAGATAAGGAGATGGGTAGATAGATGAATGAATGTGAAGAGAGTTAGATGATTCTTAGCTCTGTGGGTGGGTGGATAAAGGAAGGAAAAGAAAGCAGAAAGGAAGGAATGAGAAGCAGGACAAGCAGACAGAAGGAGGGAGCAAGAAATGAAAAGGAAAATGTCAAGAGCAAAATAGCATCGTTTCTCCCTTCTATTTCATCATAAGCGAATCTACAGAGAACAGAACTAAATTCTTCAGAAAGCCTTAGTCTGAAGACTGAAGCAGCTGAGGGATCTGCTTGTGTAGCAAAGCCCCTCAGTCTATCTTAGGTGTTAATTTCTATGTTCAGATTTAAGTTTACCGAATTTCTACTGGAATAATGGGCAAATAGCTTCATTTAAAATGATAAACCATTTTACTTAGCATCTTTAGATATGTATATGTATGTATATGTACAC